TAGCAGCTCTAGCCTTAGACAGGAGAGCAGTACTCTGCGACAGAGTACATGAGCACCAAACCCGTGGCATGCAGCACGCCTTCTGCACGTGAAGATGTGTCGACAAGGTATCAAAACAAATTTAACCTCGCCTTTATCTGATACTGAGTCTTTTCAAGATGTGACATGAACGGATATGGTAAGAGCACGATCAAGAGTGTTAGAATCTAAATATTTTGGCATCATTTAATGCAGCACACATTCACCACAGAACTCAACTGTAAGCTTCTCCCTGGCCAACCGGTTGTCTATGTGAAAGAGACGTTGCTCTTGTTTTCATCGAGGTTTGGTGTAGCTTCCACCGATTAAATACTGTCATAGTAATTAGTTCAGCCGTGGGTATGTAATTTAGCCTCAATAGGTTGGTATTTTTAGCTGCTAGAGCCATATCAGCGGAGCATATAAACTTCTTCGACGCTTTTGGAGGAAACTAGTTAGTACAGATGTTAAACAGCACTGGAAAAAAGTACTTGATTTGTCATTTGGATCAACTAAGCAATCCCTATGGACTTGTTTGCTCACTCGCTAGCACTTACTATGCGTATCGCTTGGCCACTCCACTATATGAACATGGAAAAACGTACTTTAGAGTTTAAACTGGTCTTAGCGATTTTTACTAAGAGATCGGTATCGTCAAGGTCAATTGGGGTGGCCATATTCTGCAATATCTCTTCAGCCTTTGCGGCCGCGCTCTGGAAGGCATCCGAGATTGCTGTCGGATGAATGCCTGGAAAACACAACACTGTTGTCTTACGGCAAATCTTATGTACTATAAATCATTTACCTTTGTTGAGAAGTTTTTGAGCCGCATCCAGAAGTTCACCTGCCACGATCACCACCGTAGTGGTACCATCACCGGCTTCGATATCCTGTGCTTTCGACAGCTCCACCAACTGAAAAATATAACATTTCACGTCTTTCTCTTTACACCACTACAATAAACTGTTGTTATTTTAAAAAGTCAGCAGAATCGAAATCCTGTACGTTTTTGCTGTCATAGTGTACACTGAGTCATATCCAATTGATGATCAGAAAAATCTGAGGTTCTGCAAAAATATCCTAGGAAGCATGAGCACTACAGATCGAAACTTTGACGCCTTTAAGGCCATAACAGCTAAAACCTCTTCTCATTTATCTCTTGCCTCATAAGACGTAGCAAAAAGTGCCAGTTCGAAAGATACAATTTATAAACGCGTAGGAGAGCTTAAGGATCATGGTAAGGACCAATATTTTCGACAGTATCTCATTCTGTCGATATCTTCTTTGACAATCTCAAACGATGTTCATTAACGCGTTTCTTCAACTAAACCTTAGTGTACAGGACACATCTTAGCAAGGAGCTGCAAAAGTCTTCTATCCTTTGTTCCAGCTCCAGCTCACATCCGTTCCTCTGTAATCCGGAAAGAACAAGGCATGTGCATCAGACTCTTCAATGAACAACAACTGCTCCTTAAATGTTCTTGTTTCTCCGTTTACTGTCTTATTTTCAACGGGTTCATTTCGATATCACTAATATAGATCAGTCGCTGTTTCCCAGTTCTGTAATTCACTGAAAAACAATTAATTCTTCTAACCGAATTTAAATGGTAAATCTCAAACTCATCATGCAAGAAAGCTGATTACAAAATCCTGGAAATTCTTCATATCCCATAATATTCAAATGCAAATGTGATCACATGAAAACATCGTTTTGAAGGTGCAAGGTCTATGGTATAATATGTGTAAAAACTGAGGTTCGTCAAGTCAGTTTCAGTATATTACCTCATAATATTCTAAGTAGGATTGCTGAGAAAAAATAGTAATAGCACATCTGATCTGGTAGGCGAAAAATTTCTTACGAGTGTCTAAGACAGTAAATATTTCATTTTCACTTCTTCTGGCTTCCTAATCTCAGACCAGATGACTCGATTACACAGGTCTAACATTTGGAGCCCAGCCGGGGCCGTTGGAAAAACTTCTTTGAACAGCTATCCGCGCGACCAGTATAGAACAGCGTGCACTGTAAATGAATAAATAATTACTCACTAGCTTCTTAATCTGTATGAAGAGAATGCTCTTATTACACCACTCCAGTCAGCGAAACACCTTAAGTAGTAATCAAATCATGGAGAACACAGACAGAAACAAAACTACATGAATGCCAACTTAAAAGCAAGAAATGCGGATAAAACCTGATTTATTTTAACACCAACAGTCTTTTTCAGAATCGTCAACAAGTAGAATGTTTTTAGCTAATGTACATTTAGATGATTATGCAGAGCCCGGCTCCTGAATTTGCAGAATGTACAATCTGCTTCTCGGTAGAGTCAGTGTAACAATTTAAAAGACTACTCAACATAAGCGCATAATGAATAATCGGTACTGAATTTTTGAGTACGCTTCATAAATCTCTCTTCTGCTCAAAACCATCGACTGAGACAGAAAAGTGCTTCCACTTGAACACTGTATGTTCATGAACAGTACTTGACAAACTACCTACAGATACAACGTCTGAGATGGTGGGAATAAAAATGTCATTAACTGGAACATGAAAGGACCAAAATGTGGGTCAGCCTTCAAACAAAATGCATAGATATTGTCAAGGAACATGGAGAATTCTTCACTGAATTGCGTGAACAACAAAAGAACAAAAAAAGGGGTTCTAAATGACGTCATATTCAACAGATGCAAGACAGCTTTACTGCTTTTGATGCTGTATTTTACTCAAGCAACAATTTAAATGGACTTTAATCAGGACATTGTGCTATTCAAGCTAAAACTAGCATCATAAGATGCAAACTGTGTATTTTAATGGCAGAGCGCCATTAAATGACCCGTAAATCGAGTAAGGGGAGATATCAGATCTGAACTACTGCTCATCAGCATGTAAAAGACTGTCACTGTTGTTGACTTTTATCAACACTTGTATCTGTCTCATGCTGCTAGAATTGCAACCGAATTCAAAACTAAAACTGAATCATATTGCAACAGCTCTTGCCGCTACAATGGCTAATGCCGAAAGATTCCACGTCAGAACATGACGACCGGAGCATACCATTTTTGCAGTGGGATGGACGACCTGAAGTTCTTTAAGTATAGTGGCGCCGTCATTTGTGATGATCACCTCTCCTTTCCCGGACTGGATCTGAATTGAAAAAACAACTAAGATGAAAAACAATGTTATTAGACAAAAAATACCATTTTATCCATGCCTCTAGGTCCCAAACTAGTACGAACGGCGTCAGACACGGCTAAAAAGAAAAGTATTTAGGTATACATCACGTGCTATAACTGTGTAGATCAAGCTTTTAAAATTCTAGTTTCGGTCTGTTTAAATTACAATAAACCATATATAAATATATTGTTTTGTTTGTTTTGTTTAATATCCCTCCCTGAAGATGGACTGAACATGATCCGAAACGACCGAAAACTTTAATATAGCAAATATATGGTGTCCTCCCATAATGGATCTGGCCAAATTTATGATATATAACAAATCAACAGAAACTACTTTTGGAAAGTGATATCGATTCACTGCCCGCAATGATCTTCGATTCCCGATCGATAGTTCAATACAACCATGGAAAAGGATTAAGTAAATTCTTTTACTTTCGTGACGCACTTCAGCGTAACCATCAGGTATCATGCACCAAATTAACAGAAACTTAGTTTTCCTTATTATGTGTTTTACAACTTTAGGCATTACCATACGCAAATCGAGAACGATATATGTATAAGTGGATGACAGTTATAAGGCCGGCTTATGAAGAAAAGAATAACACCAAGCTGTAGCTTTCAAGTCATTAAATTTCTATAGGAATTGCTCATGCAAATTCCAACATTTTCTAAAACTTATTGTAATTATGTAATTAAAAAATGATTTCGGAAAAACTTCAAGCTCAAAATGCATAAAAACACAAGGCAAATATTTAGTAAGTGCCATTTACGGCATCCACAGCAGAATACCTGGGACAACTAGTGGGATCAAAGAATTCCAGTTCAAAGCTGAAACAGATCAAAAATTCATGCGTTAAGAAGGTTTCGCATTAAAATCTATCTTTTTATCTCAAGCACTTAATTGCATGACATTTCAAAGTTGGTAAGAAAAGTTTTAGGTAGGACGAAGCAAAATTTTTCTAAATTTCTAAAAGCAGTTTTTAATACAAAAGTTTCTAAAATTGTCGTACCTTTAGCCGCAACGATATTACTACTTCTCGTTTGATCAGGTCTATTTTTGTCTTTAAAGTCTGAGCGCCTCTCTCCTGATCTGTTGCCGAAAGCCATTTCTTCAGTCACCTACCACAATGTTGCAAAATCTATCGTCCAAACAGTACTGTGTCAGTGGCACTGTAGATTTGCAGCCAAAGCGATAAGAATCTGTTTCTACTAACAAAGTATATGCATAATTGTTGTTTTATACAGCAATAATCATAGAAAGGCTGATTGGTGCACCTGGTTTATAAAATAAACGAAAAACGGAAATATGCGATTCCATTTCCTTTCAGTGCAAATTAAAATAAGCAATTTTATAACTCTAAATCAGAACTACGGGCATTATTCTCATTGACATGACATGCATTGTACATAAAAGTTTTCCATTCATGATAGTTTTCCTATTCAATTACTGATGCAAGATTTGCACAGCAAAAACATACCGTGTGAAGTAAGAAAATGTTTTTATTCGCACTTTGCAAAAATTCTGCGATAGAATAGAACTCTTCACACAAAGTTATATCGCATTATTGCTTTTAAGTAGCGGAAATCTTTTCCTTCACACTGCATTTCGGCTCGTAAATCAACTACCAGTTCTTGAAATGTTATATTTGCCAGCGTTAGTGAAAGCTCTCACTAATGGATGCTGCTGCGGACATCCGCGTCAAATACTTTGTTTCCTTTGATACGACAGTTTCGATTCCGCCGGTTAGAATAACGGCATTCTTGTAATTCTACAATTTGCCTGGCGTTATCGCGCCATCCGCTTCTATCTAGTAGCCAATAGAACCGTTTAAACAGCAATGTATTTAGCACCTACGCTGCATAAATGCAAAGCGGAATCACGATGCGGCGCTGAGTAGGAAACTGTTTTCCGGAAACATCGCAAAACGCCAATATCCGTTGGCTGTATAAACACCGAGATAATTATCTATTTCGGGAATTTATTCTTCGTTTTCCATGGCGCTTCTACTTTCGGATTGCATAGGCAAGCGCGTCAGACAGAGCTTCCAACGTTAACGGCCCTCTGCAAGAGTCTGAGGATCTCATCTTCGGAGGGAACAAAACTGAAGTCTGGAATAGACTCCTTCAATTAATCGGCATCAGGCGAATTTTGGCCGTCTCATGGGTCTTCCGCCGAACGGTTTCGCAAGAAATAGTTGCCTAGCCTTCCTTTCGGGAAGCATTCGCAACACATGCCAAAATCACCGCAGTTTTGACTTCACAACTTGGAGAAGCAAAAGCTCTACATCAAGGTTCACCCGGATGTCACTAATCCGGACCATGTCGAGACGCGTAAGGCCCCTCTTGAAAAGCCCATCAGCAGCTTGTAAGCGGGTTCGAAGTTTTTCAGTGGTGGTCCCCGATTTATAACCGTAC